GCGCCTAGTATGCATATTCCACCAAGGCTATAGTATCGGCAACCCAATCAGCCTACCAAGCATCTATGGATTCTAGAGATTGCCTTTGCATTGGGAGAAGTGGGTCGCCCAAGCACAAGACATGTCGCAAATTGCCTCTACTATAGTTCCCAACAACAGTCTCATGTTGGTTAGTCTCATGGGGGCAAATTAGTATTTTCAATCCTTTCTTCCTCCATTTTTCCTTCTCTCACCATGACCATCGCAGCCCAAGATTCTACCTTCTTCCTTCACACCAGCCATTCCTCCCCACGAGCCATCATTGTTGTTGAGATGGAGATGCTGCCACAAATTGAAATAGATGTTTTCCCTAAGGGGTTAGTATGACCCTACTTTACACCATTGTCCATTGTTGTTGAAAGAGGAAGAAAAAGAAGGGGACAACGGGAAGAAGAGGTCGACAGGGAGACAAAGATATTAGTGGGATGACGTGGAGATGGTGGTGGATCAGAATGGTGGTTGTGATGGGGTTCAGGAAGTGGTGGTGGAAGCGAAATGATGGTAGATGGGTTTGTTCTAAATTTTCAAAAAGAAAAAGAAAATTAAAGAAGTTGTAAAAAAATCTGACTAATTAACACAAAGATACTCCAGACATTTGGCACTATTTACTTGACTCACTTTGACCAATGTTTGTGAATTATACATAAGAAGAAAATGTGATACTTGTTGAAATTGTCTCAATGAATAGATTATTAGTATTCTGTTGTAATTTATACTTTTTGATGATTAAAGATATTATTGGTCAAAGTTCTACATCGCGTGTGCGTCAGGCTCCAATGGGGAACATACAAAAACTAAGTGAGTCATAATCAGACTAATGAATTGGGGCACTCGTCATACATAATTAACAAAAGTTTAAGAAAAATGTGTTAGTAAAAAAAAGAGGCAGCCCCCATCGATCTTAATAATAAACATTTTTTGTTTATCTAATGACAATTTCGTAAATAAAGGAACAATGCACCATACACTACATCAAATTGTTGGTGCTCACGTTCGCTGCTTACTTGTATTATGTTAAGGGGTGTCCATTATTCGGATTAAAATCGAACCAATCCAATCCAAACCAAACCAAATTATTAATTCGAATTGGATCCGAACTTGAAATCCGAACGGGTCGAATGATTTTTGGATTGGATCGGATTGACCTTATTACTGTTTTTTATAAATAAGTATTGTTAATATTAATCATGTTCTAATTATATTAATATTATTCATGTAAACCTATGTTTTCAATACTTTTATTAATCGTGTACTACTATACTTTCAAGTATTGAATTTTTATTATTGCAATTTTATTTTTATAGTCGCTTTAGGCCTAAAAAAGTCGCAACGTGTTTTAATTCAGATTTTTTGATCGAATACAAATAACCAAATTTCAATTCAGATTGGATTTAGTGGCAAATTCAGATCAAATTGGATTTGATAATTAAAAAACAAAATTTATTCCAGATCGGATTGGATTTGGGCTAAATCTAAACCGAAAACTGAATGGACACCTCTAACTATGTTGCTGAGATGGACATTCCACCGACAAAAGCTTTCTCCACCATAGAAGCTTCCTCCTTCCTTCCCCGATCTCCATCCATCTTCCACCGACACTTACACGACAACCCCACCATCTTCCGCGGCTTCTACACCAAATTAAATGAAAACCCTATGAAAAGGGGTGAAATTCAAGCCATGGTCAACCCCAAAGGGTAAAGGTGACCATGTCATGAAGTAGCGCTTTAGGATGTGTTTTGTGGTGGTGGCGATGATGGGTTATAGTGAGAAAATGGGAACATCAGTGGTGGTGATGATGGGTTTCGAAGAGGAAAGAGGGGCATGAGAGAAATGGTGCTTCATCGACTAGAAAATGGAGCAAGGTGGTGGCGGTTGCAATTGAGTTTCATTAGAGAGGACAATGACGCTAAGGTGTCGGTGACTGTTGTAATATGAGTGTTTCAAAGGCTACAAAAATATAATGAATAATGTGTTTGTTTGATCAAAGGAAGATGGTGCGGCATGACATTTCATCATTGACTTTGAACACGAATTCCAGCGCAAACGAGGTGCACATTTGTCACCGATACGTTCTCTAAGTTTACACACTACTCTCAGTCAAAGACACTTTAGGGGGTGAAACTAATGCGGTTTAAAACCGAATCGAATCGCAAATCGAACTGAATTAGAAATGCGGTGCGATTTGTTTTTTCCTAATATGGTTCGGTGTAGTTTAAAAAAAAATAAAAATTGCGGTTTATGGTTTGGTTTCGGTTTTAGGATTTGAAAAACCGAATAACTGAATTATGGCCTTGTAAGACTTAGTCACTATCATCTATCTATACTTATATATATTAAAAAGCGTTTCTAAACAGAATGTGTGCAACGAGGCACCTTTTTAAATCTCTATAAATTTGACATGTCAGCAATATGTGCCACGTGTCACATCTTTTAACACTATATATATGACATGTCACCTCCACAATATGTGTTAGAGTTGACAACTAAAAAATGCTTATAGCAAGATTTGAACTCAAAACCAACAAGTATCAAGTTTCAAGTCTTCCCATCTTAGCTATTCATTTATTATGCATTTCTATCCAACAAAATTATAGTTAACTTGTATAATATAATTAGTGTTTAATTGTACTATTTATTTCCAGTATGTAATGATCAAAAGACAATTTAACAACTTTAATTTTGAAGTCTGTATTGTTTTCTGATTTGATGAAAAATAATAATTTTATTTTCTATTAAATAATCAATAGTTGTTGAATCTCTTTAAATCATAACATATCAAATATTGAATATGGTTCTCCTAATACAGATATTTTTTCAATTTATGAAATTTCAAGATAATTATCAAAATACTAAGTAAAAGCAGTCTTGTGATTAGCAAACTAAACAAGTACAAACTAGCAAGTCGGGGCATCGCCCGGGCCACACACTAGTTTCTTCATTAAAAATTAGAACTTGTTATATCATTATTTGCTATTTAACAATAGTTTGTTTTATTTTTGGATAATCAATCCCAAAAAACAAATTTTGAGTAATTAGGCCCATAAAAGTTGCAAATTAAGGCCCAAATCACAAGGCTAAAAAAATTGTTGTGTAGTTCGATTTTTTTTTTTTTTTTAAAAACCGAATATTATATGGTGTGGTTTGGTTCGGTTTCAATATTAATATGGTGCGGTGTGGTTTTAAAAATCCCAAAACCGAATTAATATGGTTAAGTTTCGGTTTAGGCTATAAACCACACCGCAAACCAAACTTTCACCCCTAGGCACTTTTGGGGTGAGAAGGAGCCATATAAACTTATGCCCGAAGAAGGAATATGTTTAGCTCTTTGTATTTTTTGAACGTCATCTATGTCTTTCTGATTTTTCCAACCAAGAATATAAAATGAAACATGGGGATCTCAAAGGTTGAAGAATCCAAGAAGACAAAGCTTTAATTAGAAATTAAGAAGAGATAACATCATTTTAAACCTCCCATTAATTATGGGTGTTAAGAGTAGGGCTGAGCAATTAATTGATATCCGTATTCGATCCGAAATATTCGGATATCCAATCTGGATATCTGAATATTTTGGATCGGATAGGTCGGATATCCAATATCCGAACCTTTTAACAAATAAATACACAAAATACAGCTTTAATGGAAAATTTGATTTTTTGAACAATTAAATCTCAGATTATCATATTCAAGAATCAAATAACCCACAATAATGTAAGACTAATGACATAAAGAATCATTTAAAACAAGATTAAGAAAATAATCAGAAAAAGTAAAAAAAAAGTGTTCTAATGGTTGACGCATATTCAATGATGACAGAGGGTTTGGTGACCCGTAAAGCTTGAGCCGGCCGGTGGAGGTTAGTGAGCGTGAGCCGTTGGAAGAGAGCCCACTAAGCTAGGTGAGTCGGTGGTCGGTGCCGGTGAAGGAGATCTGAGAGTATGAGATTGTAAATTGAGATTTTGAGATGATAAGAGGAGAGAAAGTTAAAGAGGAGAGAGAAAGTTACAGAGGAAGTTAGAGTGGAGAGAGAAAGTTAGAGAGGAGAGAGAAAGTGACAGGAGAGAGAGTGAGAAATTGAGATCTGACAAAGAGAGGTGGGGGTGGGGCGTGGGGTAGGTTAAAGAAAAAGAATATAGGGTTTGGTGTATTTCACTATTTTGTACTGTACTCCGTAAGAAATAATGTTTTTGTAAAAAAATAATGATTTTTTTTTTTAATATTGGATATCCGAAATCCAAGAGTTGGATATCTGATATCCGATTAATTCCGGATCGGATATCCATAATTTTCGGATCGGATGCTGATTGGATCTTCTGATTTTCGGATAGTTTTACTCAGCCCTAGTTAGGAGGGGGTTACAAAGGAAGAAGAAGATGAATAAAAGAAAGTTAATAGACATGTTGTTGAATGAATCTAGATATGGAAAAAGTCTAGTTCATAACACGACTTTTACTTCCTTTATTCCAATAATGACTCATCAAATGAGTGATAAATCACAGTTTATATTTCATTTATTTACAATCCGACTAGTAAATTAACAAACTTTGTTGATTAAAAACATCAACTTGTATTTCTTCAGAAAAAAAACAAGGAGTATGCAGTATTAGTCAAATTCTTTTTCAACTGTTAATAAATTCAACTAGGGGCTTTTGGTTCGCGAAATATAGGTATGAGGTATGAGTTTAGAATGACTGAAACCCATACCATATGTTTGGTTGTCAAAAGTATGAATTTTAAACCCATACCTCAAACCCATGAGGTATGGGGTTTAGAAACCTTGGGGGGTGGGTTTGACTCATTCCATTCCCTTAGATATCAAATAAAAGGAGGACATAGTGAGAGATTTCATTCCAAAATTGAACCAAACACATGATATCAAGTTCCTTTTACAGCCTTTGAGATAATTATCAACGATATTATGCAGCTTGCCCTTGAATGTCATTCGTATTCCTTTTCCTTTGTGAAGCGAAGTGGTAATTGTGTTGCTCATGAATTAGCAAAACTTAGCTCTTCTTTTGTCGATCTCCGAGTTTGAATGGAGGAGGTTTCTAGTAAAATTTCTGATTTTGTAATGGCTGATTTTATCCTCTTCTTTTGAGTAATAAAATCTCTTCATTGTTTTTCTAGAAAAAAAAAAAAAAAATCAAATTTCAACCCAATACCACCTCGTAAATCGTACGGAGACATGGTCATCAATTCATAAACCCCTGCAAACATAAACCCATTTCCGAATCCCCTAAAATTCAACTCAATCAAACCTTCAAACTCCATTGAATCTTCAACAATGGCGTCAAACATCATAAGAAACTCCCTAAAATCAATCAACTCACTAACCTTACGAACCCTAACAACCCACCGCCGCCCCTTCAGCGCCGCCGCCGCGAACCCCACCACCACCGCCGAAGAATCAGACGCATTCACCTTCTCATCTGACGGCGCTGACAGCAGCATACACCTGAAGGCGAAAAAAGCGGCAGCTTCGTCAGTGACAATGCCGATGTCGTTCATGACAGGTTCTATTGTTGGAAAGAGATTCTACAAGAAAGTAACAACGAGAGAAGCTGATGATGGTAATGGGTGGAGTGTTATGCTCGATTATCGAACCCTTAAAACTCCTTCTAAACGTCCTCTTAAACTTCCTACTCTTTCTCTTGCTAAAGCTATTGCTGCTGAGTGGGATTTCCAGGTTACTCTCTTTCCTTAGATTGTTTTGATTTTGAAATTCGTGGCGAAATCATGCTTGGATTGGTGTTATTAATGTTTATTCGATAAGGGTATTGTTTCCCGGTGATTATTAGTTGAATAGGTGATCACTGATTTGTAAATGGTAATCATGTTTGCTGGATGTGAATTGGGCATTTGGGGCTTTTGGTTGAATTTGCTGGGTTGCTACATGATTTTGCAAGTAATCGGCATTTATAATTTGGTGCTGTTATTGGTGTTGTTGAGATTTGTGTTTGTGATTTGATGTTATTTGAGAAGGGGTTTTGGTGTTAATTGAATCTCGGGTTTGTTTGGTATTATTTGTAGCAAACAGATGGAATAAGACCCTTCACAATGCCATTGATGAAGCTTGCTTGCACTGCATTGGAACGAGTTCCTGTTGTTCGCCCAAAAATTATTGATAATTTGATGAGCAAGTTCAGTCAAGACTTGGTTTTTTGTCGTGCTCCACATGACAACGAATTAACCAGCGGTGTCTATGGTATGATCCCTAATATTGATCACTCTCTATTACTGGTTTTTAACTTTATATCCCTTTCCCTTCTCGTGTTTTTAATGCTTTGAGTGTGATAGATGCCATGTCTTGAACTGTTTTGTTATTGAAGGCCAGCCTTTTATGCTTGTGAAGCTAAAGGACAGCATTAGTGTAATAACAGGATGAAGCAGTGATGAAACAAATGCATGCCTGCAAAAGATATATGTTAAGCCTTGCTGTTTTAATTTATTTGCTAATTGTTTTTGTTACTTTGTTAGTGAGGTTGACAAATATCTAAAAAAGAATGGAACACAATAAATGCGGAAGAAATGAAGTATCAATGGAACTGCTATGATTATTTGGTGAAACATTCATTTTAACATAAATTAAGATAGTATAACTTAAAGTAATTAAAGCTCATAATTTGACTTTGCATTGTTTGGCCATGCTTGTATTGGGGGTAATGAATTAAGAGTAAGTGAAATTGAAAGAAAAGGAATGAAGAAATTTAGGTGCTGTGAGAGGGATTGATGTGGTGATAATGCACATGGAAGAGTAAAGAGGGTAGGGGGATTTAATAATTGGTGATACGCTACTCTACATCTTTCTCATACGGCCCGTTTGGTAGTCTGTAATAAATAATGGGATAAGAATGAATTTTGTGTAATTTGGTTTAGAAATAAGTATCATAATGATGATGGTCATGCCATCTCATTTCTAAAACTATGCTTTTCTTCATAAAGTCTCATTACCACCCAATACCACACCCTTAAGTGATAACGGATGGTAATGAAGATTTATGAAGATAATGAGGTATCTTATATGTATTAGAACTACCATGTGTTTTGGTACATTGACTTACATAATTACAACAAAATACAGTCTCATTACTTCTATTTATTACCGCCTACTAAACGGGCCATTAGGGGATGGTGGGTAGTTATCACCCCCAAAATAATGGTAATAATTCTTCCATTCCTCACACAATCATTACCCTATCCCATGTCACCACCTTAATTCACTTCATTTTCTTACCTTTTCTTATATTACTCATTCAGCACATCTATTCTAAGCATTTCTTGAGTGGTACATTGGGCTTACATTACTCCATAGGCCTTGTTTGGAATCAAATTTTGATTGTTGTTGGTTCACTTGGCTTGTTTGACCAACTAGTAATGTTAATTGCTTTAATAAGTCCGAAGTAATAGTTATCGTTAAAATATATTTTAAAATTGGATTTTGATTGGAAAATTATCGTCTACTTGTGATCAATCCTTACTACTAATATAATAATATGTATTACTCCTGTCATTTTTATTTTAATGCAATACTTCCTTAAAATGACTTTTTTGTAAGTGCAACACTTCCTTAAATGGAGATATATTATATTATTTTATTATATCTCTCTCCTTTCATGCTCTCTCCACTTCCACCCCTCACATACTTTAAAAAAAAATATATATTATTTCTCTAATCTCAATTTCTTTTCTTTATAATTTATAATTTATAATTCCCCAACAACCTCCACATACACAATATTTTAACAAATTCAACTCAACCCTCTAAAACTCGATGTTGGGAAAAAAAAAAGGAAGCATTATTCTACTTGTAAGCTAGAATGTGGGATACCTAAGCTCACCAACTTTCAAATATATTGAGTATTTTATTGAATGATGATAAGTATCTAATGAAACTAAGGCAATAAATTAAGTCTAAAGGTTAAAGACCGATTAATACGGAGAACGAGACCCTAGGGAAAGGTGATCAAGGCATACATGAAGCATTTTAATAATCTATGGCTAAGTCGATTATAGAGATATCAAGGGGAAAATTTGTGTACCTAGGTCACTCCCGCACACACTAAACTTTAAAGTTCCCAACCCTACCTATTAGTTTGGTTAGCTATGAGGGGTGTTCACGTATTAAACTTGTCCAATAAGAATAAGTTCAGGAAGTCGATTAACCAAGAGACTATAAGGCTATAAGCATTAAGACCAACATGACAACACCTATAGCTTAAGGCATTCAATTATCACCTATGTTACACACACTCGAGTTTCAGTGTCGTATCAAGTAGGGATTGGAGGATCCGATCCTTCGATTCCAAAAATAGCTAATACGGGGATACAATCAAATGAGTGTCTCGACTATTTTTTGGACACGGCTAGCATATAAAGTGTCGGAAAATTTTTAGATACTTAGTTAACAAAAATATTCTAATATTTAAAAAAAAAAATTGACATGATAAAAAATCAAAGTCAAACCATCCAATTATTATAACAAAAACTATTAAATAAGAATTGCATATTGTCCCAAAAAAAAAAAAAAAAAAAAAAAAAGGTCAAACCATCCAATTGTTATAAGAAAAACTAGTACAATAAAATAGAATTGCATATTGTTCCAAAACCAAAAAATCAAAGTCAAACTATCCAATTGTTATTACAAAAGCTACTATAGTAAAACAGAATTGCATATTGTTCTAATTCCCAGACAACCAAAAAGCAAATATTTCAAAAGGCTAACAATGTCATTGAATGTTCGTCATCTTTAGCTCATAATCTTCATTCAATGCTCATCATTTTCATTACAAAAACCAATGATAGCCCTTTCTAACTCCAGTTCATTGATGGATAGTTCTGCCATCTCGCAAACATCAACATCCTCATCAAATTGATCTCCTTTCTTACAATTATTAAAAAGTTATAAGCTGGTTATATTAAATATCATATAAAATACTTAATGCTCATTATTTAATAATATTACCTATGTCCCAATAACGGCTAGGACCTGATTTGTAACTCTCTTGCTTCCTTGCCAATAATCGAAGGTTGTTATAGCATTACACTAAGTCTCTTGCCCTATCGGAAGTCGGCCTATTTCTCTTTAGAGTTTGAATATTACCATAATGACTCCAATATTTTTCACAACATGAAAACGATGATGGTTGTGACAATAATTTATAAGTAATTGATTGTAAGTGGGGAAGGTAGGAACAATAATTTGCCCACCAAATTTTAGGTTCTTCATCACTAGAAAATGACCCATATTCTAGTCTCGCATGCTTAAAATCATTGTCATCGGGAAATAGACGTTGTAAACATTCATTTTTACTTTTAGAAACTTGTTCATCTTCATTAGGTGCAATCCTTTTATATCCCTCTCTACTAGCATTTAGCCATTTCGAGTCTTGGAATTAGTGAGTGTGCAGAAACTTGTTCATCTTCATTAGGTGCAATCCTTTTAAATCCCTCTCTACTAGCATTTAGCCATTTCGAGTCTTGGAATTAGTGAGTGCTAAACAATGTAAGAGTGTGTTACTTTTGTTCCACCTACTCGGTCATACTTCTTGAATAGCATTTAATAATATTAAAAAAAAAAAGACTTATTAGATAACAAGTTCTTCCCTTAATGTTTAAAAACATTGACATTTACTCTTTCAATCATAGTATTCCCACATATCATAGACAAGATGCAAAACAGAAGCTTCTTTGTCTCCAACCCAAATAGTCATATATAGGCTCAACAAACTTTAAAAAATAATCAACATTATCGCACTAATTGTCACTTCAAACTTTTTCTTTGTATACACGAGCCTTAATATCAATAGGATTTTTAGGAGATCTAAACGAAGTCCTAAAATCAGGATCAATAACCATTTTTTAAAGTCCATTTTTCACTTCTCTCATACGTTTTGCAACAACACAATGACTAGCAAACCTTGTTTCAGGTCACAAGTTTCTAGATATCGTGCAAAGGTTACAACTCTTGACATGGTGAAGGCAATTTTGTGACGATATTCAAAAATTTGTTACCTCATATGATATGGTGAAGGCAATTTTCAAGAAGAATGTTAAAATACAACTCTTGTTAGTGGTTGAAACAAAGTTTTCTAGTCATTAAGTGGCTGCAAAACGTATGAGAGAATTGAAAGATGGACTTGAAAAAATGGTAATGGATACTAATTTTAGGACTTTGATTAGATCTCCTAAAAATCCTATTGATATTAAGGCTTATGAATACAAAGAAAAAATTCTAAGTGACAATTGGTGGGATAATGTTGATTATTTTTGAAGTTTGCTGAGCTTATATATGACTATTTGGGTTGGAGACAAAGATGCTTCTATTTTGCATCTTGTCTATGATATGTGGGATACTATGATCGAAAGAGTAAAAGTCTAACATTTTTTAACATGAAGGGAAGAACTTGTTATCTAATAAGGGTTTTTATTTTTTTTATTTTTTTTAATGCTATTCAAGAAGTATTACTGTGTAGATGAAACAAAAGTAACACACCCTTACATTGTTTAGCACACTCACTAATTCCAAGACACAAAATGGCTAAATGCTAGTAGAGAGGGATTTGAAAGGATTGCACCTAATGAAGATGAATAGGTTTCTAACAATAGAAATGAATGTTTGCAACGTCTATTTTCCGATGAAAATGATTTTAAGCATGCAAAACTAGAGTATGGGGCATTTTCTAGTGAAGCAACTCCTTTCAATCAAGCTCATATAATTGCTGCCGAGATGGTGAAGAACCTATAATTTGGTGGGCAAATTATTGTTCATACCTTCCCCACTTACAATCACTTGCTTTTAAACTATTGTTACAACCATCATCGTTTTCATGTTGTGAACAAAATTGGAGTCATTATGGTAATATCCAAATTCTAAAGAGAAATAGGCCGACTTCTGAAAGGGCAAGAGACTTGGTGTATTGCTATAACAACCTTCGACTATTGGCGAGGAAGCAAGAGAGTTACAAATCAGACTTATTAGGACATAGGTAATATTATTAAATAATGAGCATTAAGTATTTTATATGATATTTAGCATAACCATCTTATTAATTTAATTTTTTTTTAAATGTTTGTACGAGAGGAGATCAATTTGATAAGGATGTTGATGTTTACGAGATAGAAGAACTATCCATCAACGAACTGGAGTTAGAAAGGGCTATCATTGGTTTTGGTAATTAAAATGATGAGCATTAAATGAAGATTACGAGCTAAAGATGACGAGCTTTTAATGATATTGTAAGCCTTTTGGAATATTTGGTTTCCGAGATTTGGAACAATACTTTATAACTCGGACTCTAGTATCCATGTTTGACACCGACTCGGCTGTTTTGTGAATTTTTTTTATGATTTTGAATTGGATGAAGTGTCCAAGTGTCATACCCATATTCGACCCCAAATACCTATGTCGAGGGTCTAACATGGGTATTTGGGGTAAAATGAAGAGTCTGAGTAACATAGGAACAATATGAAATTTTGTTTTATTGTATAAGTTTTTGTTATAACAATTGTATGGTTTGACTTTGATCTTTTGGTTTTGGAACAATATGCAATTTGTTTTAGTAGTTTTTTTTAATAACAATTGGATGGTTCGACTTTGATTTTTTCCTTTTTTTTTTTTTTTTTTTCTCATGTCAATTTTTTTTTTTAATATTAGAATTTTTTTAAACTAAGTGTCTAAAAATTATCCCGATACTTTATATGCTAGTCATGTCCAAAAAATTAGTTAAGACACTCTTTTGATCGTATCCCCGTATAGATTATTTTTGGAATCGAAAGATCGGATCCTCCGATCTCTACTTGGATACGAAACCAAACTCAAGTCTCTGCAACAATGGCGAAATTCGAAAATTGAAAAGATAATTTGGGGTTTTGTGCTGGTTTCCATTGATGATATTCTACCTTTAAGAGCTTTAATGGAGATTTTGAGAGGCACATGGTGACCGTCTTTGGTGAAAATGGGCACAAATGTGGTAAGATTAGGTTTTTTTGGGAGGGGAATGGCCGGTGTTTGCAAGGTCAGGTAGTTAAGGACTTCAGGGTGGTGTGGGATTGAGAATATGGAGACTTCTGGTGGAGCAATTGAAGGGGACCCTGAGAAGCAATTGAAGGGGAGGAGAATAAAAAACGGTGGGGGACATGGGTTGATTTTCCTGTGGCAGTGTTCCGAGTGGTTCCGAGTGGTTGTGAGTTGTAGTCGCCGACTGTGTGGGTGGAATTAGGGGTGGTCGGTCAGAAGCGAAGAGGAGAGAAAAGGGTGGGCGTCGTTTTTTTTTTTTTAAATATTCTAACCATAGTTATTTTATAACTAAAAATTTAAGATAAAACATCCATTTATGCCATAAGTGAAAATTAATTCTTAATTAGGTTCATGTTGAATAAAAAAATAAAAATAAATAGAGGGTTACCATTTCAGTGTAGCAATTGTTGAAGGTCACCATTGAGAATTTCTTTTTTTGTTTTTTGTTTTCCCTTTTTTCTTTTTTGCCATCAAATTAGTGAGACTTTCATTTGGAAACTATTGTGGTGCGGTTGCTGAATGCTCTTGAGTAATTCTATTGAACTATGCTCATACATCGATATGCAAATTAATTTTGTTTTAACTCTCTAGTTGTTGAGTAGTCATCAGGAGAGGGAGAGGGCCTGAATGCCCCATGAGTAGGTTTTAACTTGTTTTTGATTTTGTCCCCTGCTTAATTGAAGTATGAACTTTGTTCTATATGGATACTTTCTGAATTATTTAAATCAATACTTCTAATCGCATGTTACTCTCAAAATCTTTGCAGAACGCCAAGTTGAAAAAATAGATCCTCTACTAAAGTGGGTGGAGTCAGAATTTGGCTACAAGCCTGTAGTGTACACCTGTTTTTTTGGTGGCAAGCAGGATGAAGGTCTTGTAAAAGCCGTTGAAAGTCTATTGAAGAAAGCAGATGATTGTGAACTAGCTGCCATTGATGCACTGACATCTGCATCACACTCTTTAATTATTTCTATCGGTATAGTTCGTGGAAAATTGCAATTAGAGGAGGCCATTGAGTTGATACGTCTTGAAGAAGATCTGCAGGTTAGAGTCATATGCCATGTTGCTTTATGAGTCCAACCTCTACGTCCCCCTCCCCAACCCAATCTAACCATGATTTGCTGCATCATTGAACGTGTATTGCATCGGGTATATGGGAAGGGCTCAGGAACTGCATTATAATTCAGTTAGAGGTAGCTTAAGCAACATGAAGATTGATATCAATTCAAGGAGGGAATCAGTTAGTATATAAATAGAGGATATTGGAGGAGAGATTCAGTTAGTCTATGAATAAAGGAGATTCGAGAGAATTTTTTTTAACATCATTTCTTTTTTTTTTTTTTTCCTTTATTTTTTAGGAAAAATTGCGAGGAAGGTCCTTTTAAGTAGTCGACCTTGTGAAAAAGGTCCTTTTAAAAAAAAGATGGCACAAAAGGTCCTTTTATGGTGATTGGGTTGTGAGGAGGATCCTTTGACCAAACTCCGGTGTTGACCTTCGTTTTCCGGCAAAAAAAGTCACGTGTTGCGCACGTGACCACTTAAATCAGATTTTTTTTTTTTTTTTTTTTCTCTTTTTTTCCCTTTATCTCTTCTTCCTTGATTGACTTAAATCAAATTATCAACCCAATTTGTACTCAATTGGAATTTTTAGATAAGAAAACCAAAAAATTCAATTAAATATAATACTCCATATTCTTTAAAAAAAAAAAAAATTTGCATCGCCAAATTGTAGCAAAATACAGAATTGAAAAACAGTAGGGGGAAAAGGCAAATTAACAAAAGAAGTGGTAAAACTCAGCAGAAAATAGAGAATAAATGAAGCAATAAAAAAGGAAAAAATAGTAGGGAAAGAAAAGATCCCCAATTGAATAGTGGTAATCGGGAAGAAGGAAAAGAAAAGGAGCAGAGAAAAGCAGTAATTGATCGAAAAGGGTACAAACAGGAGTGTTGACGATGATGGCATCGGGAGGAGGAAAAAGACGATCGGAAAAGGAGTAGTAATCGCCATGCGATTCAGCAAAAGGCGGCTTCATCCGCGCCAATAAAACAACCTCTCTCTTCTCTGGAACTGCCTTGCTCGCTCTCGAAGTCGCCGTTGAAGGCGGCGCCGCGGCGGCGTTGAACTTGAAATTGAAAAAGGGGTTCAATTGCTTGAGCTTTTGCTGGTGAGAACAGCTGAATAGGAGGGAGGGAGGGAATTTGGTTCGGATTTTAGATGTGGAGGGAACTGTACTTTGCAACTACCCCCCCCCCCCCAATCAATCCAACAGCCATGATTGAGCTTAAACCATTGATGATGATGCGTGGTGTTGATGAAGTGCAGCAGCGTGAATTCTGATTGAAAGGGAAATCAAGGAAGAAGAGGGAAAGGGAAAAAAAGAAAAAAAATCTGATTTAATTGGTCACGTGCGCAGCACGTGATTTTTTATTGCCGGAAAACGCAGGTCAACGCTGGAGTTTGGTCAAAGGACCCTCCTCACAACCCAATCGCCATAAAAGGACCTTTCATGCCACCTTTTTTTTAAAAGGACCTTTCTCACACCACTTAAAAGGAACTTCCTTGCAATTTTTCCTATTTTTTATTATTATTATTATTTTTAACTATTCTAATACTGTTTCATCTGACAGGTGGACAAGTGGGGTCTTGTCGAGGGTGGTCATGATATTGATATTGCGGATTTGAAGGTGCAGATTGCATCTGCTGCTGTGTTCCTTGGGCTATCAAGAAGGTCATAGTATCCACATTTTTGAAATTTTTTTATCAAATGAGTTGATTGTGCATTTTTTGTTTTTGTATGCTCCGTTGAAGGCTGTACTGTACTAATCACAAATTGACAACCAATGTGCTGGAGCTTTTTGTAAACATGTAGCCTTTGCGAAAGTAGCAAGAGTAATAATATCTGCTTCGGTATTTCTGAGTATCATAACTTTTTTATACTTAATATTATGCAAACAATTGCAAAACCTCTAATAACAGAAGAAATGTAGTTGAAACTGTTACTCTACACCTGAAATCTGGAATGGGAACTAAATCATCAGTGTTGAAAGTTGAAACATAAGGTCAACATGTACTTTGGCTGTAATGGTTTAGTTATAATATGCATATATGGAAGCTTCACCAATTTCAGCTCTGTTTTTAGTCATGTACTGTTGTACAATTTACATTGTATAGTGCCATAACGGTTGGTAGCATGCCAAAGCAGCTGCTTTTGTGGCAGATTAAGGATCTTCATTGCAGCATTGCAGACAAACTGGTGGTTGTTTAATGACACAATAACAGCATGTAGTATCACAGTCATTATTGCAACCTGTTACAGAAAATTGCCTTTGAGTTAGTTTTTACGCTGATTAGAAGCTTACTTCTACCAAAGGAACATCAAGATTTTTTAATTTTCTACCAGAAAGAAAGCTTTGATTCACTGATTCGAATCACTTTCAGTTCACTATTACCTGTGACTGTGATGACATATTGAGATGATTCCAGTTCATGTGGGTTCAAGACAAATGGAAGTCGGTTGGTTGCCAAGACAGCGATGACATTAATTGCGACAAGGCTCATGAAGAAGTAAGCTATTGCTAGTGATTGCCTCATAGTTTGTAAGATTTGCTTTCAGTTGGATTGCCTAGTACTGTCAAAACTGGTTGGATAATGCATCACCAACTCCTTTTATAGGACTGTTTTTGTACTTTATATCCCAAGGTTTCAAACATATGACATGATTCATCAACAGTGTGGCTTATTGTATATTGTAGACTTGTAGTTATTAGAAGAGGCATCTTTTACTAGTTAAGAAAAACATCATGTTCATTACGTGCTAATAAGAAATTTTAAATTCCAACAAAGATTTGGTTTAAAGGATCACTCAATGTAAACCTCACACCAAATCCTTAAATAAGGAAAAATTCAAGTGGAATTCACCTTCATCAATACATCATAATTCATATGCAAACACAAAAAACCGCTTTAAAATGCATAAAATGGCTCCGCCAATTTACCAAATGGTGCCCTTTCCTTTACCAGAGAAAACAACATTCTACATGGAGATATTTCCCGAGTTAAAGGTTGAACACGAGTCTTGATGAAGAAAATTTACTTCGGAATTTTAAAGAGTAATGATCTTCATACAATTCAGCGTTACCAACATTTTTTTGTCTAATTTATTCGGGCATTTACCAGAATATGTCAAAACAGGGAACCAGCACATATCACCTACTACAAGCTTTAACCCAATTAATTATACCACTGCACTTCTGAGCACAAAAAGGATTCAGCAACTAAAACTTCTTCTGAGTACAGGCTACAATTTGCTTGATAGAAAACCAGTAAAACATTGCAAAGATCAAGATTTTAGCTTCACGTGCTACAGCTTCGGGTGGTAAGAGGCAGTGCTATGTATATCACTTTTCCAATGAATAAATTGCATCTTCTCCGCTTCAAAAATAAAGCATTAATCAAATATTCAGAAATAGTTATCCGAGGGTAACTAATTCTGCACATGATAATACAGAGGTTTCAGCAACTATAAATAGGCCTAAAACCAGGCACAACAGTGTCGTTCACATTCCATGGTGAAGCTTAACAAGAATTGCAGCGCAGAGAGCTATGGCCTCATTAGAGATCACTCCTGGTTAGACATTTGAATCTTGTGGCGCTTGAAAAATTCTCTAAATCCATAAGCACTGAGATCATGGCTGAACTGCAGATTCGATAAACAGGTTTGACATCAGATAAAAGCTAGAAAGCAACATGAAATCATAACAGATTTTCATTTGTAAAAGAGGTATGATTCCAGTGTGTATTTGTTAAGTAGCAAGCAACAAAACAAATATAAATAGTCAATAAATAGCAACTTGTGGTAAAATAGAATGAATGATTAAAACCAAATCTAAGCCCAAATTTAATGCCAATTGATGGTTTACAGGAACAACAGCATGTGTACAGCAATTCAAAGAAATGAATAAGACCCAAGTACTAGAAAAATATAACAGAATCTTACAGGCAAGACTTTCACGGAGTACTTGGTGACATTTGGATCAGTAACCCTTCCCGGGGCAGCAGCCTGCAGGAGAGAAAAGACAAAAAGTTGTTATCTTGGCGATGGCATGTAAATTTTACAGAGCTGTGCCATCTAGTTGCAATCACTCGCTTGTTTCAAATACGTTGCATCTTGAACCAGAAAGAGATACAATCAACAAATACCCAATGCTAATTTTTAGAAAAAATTTGAAAGGAGGTATGATCCTAAAACTGGATGCTTGTATAGTCCAAATCCCAGAAGACTATTAGATATAGAAGGATCGGACATACTTGCTCTGGGGTATGAAATATTTCAACAAATGGATATTCCTTCCTTTGCCGTGTTATACAAAAGCCTGGATACTTAGGACACTCAACCTGAAAATACACAAAGTATCAAAATTACTAGAGATAAAACTGACTAAAATATCATTACACAATGCAGCAATACTGCAGTAAAATGCATCAAGATCCCTATCATCCCTTTGTCTATACTCTCTATACATCCAATATGCCTGATATACTAGAGTGATGCAGAGAAGACACATGACAAGCAGAATAAACCACAGCAACCACGATGTCAAAGGCTACTATATCAATCAAATACAGGCTCTAGCTTTCTTACATGAAAGAAGAGATGGATATCCATTTTATAAACATATTCTAATACAGACTGTTTCTTAATTTTATAATGAAGAGTGAACCTACTCTCTCAAATTGACTATATAAGATTCTGCAGACCCATAAACATAACACAAAGAAGAAGAAACCTACTCTCATAAATTTGACATGAGGGTAAAACTCGGCCGCAGCCTCCTCTAGTACTTTGTCAAGATGTCTTGTGTAATTTCCCCTACAAATTCCACAAATCATTTCACATTAAGAAAAGGGTACAAAGACGAAAGTAAAACCGAAATCAACTATTGCAACAGGGTAAAAAGGGGGCAAGGAAATCCATCATATTACCTAACAGTGAAAGCAACAACCACAGGGTAGCCCTGGTGAAGAATCTGTACAAATTGACGCTCCGACGTAAAATGTATTACACGGGATGGTCCTAAATCCTTGGGATAACCAGTATAATACCTTATAATTTCACAACAAAATACAAAACAATATTAAGATTTTACAATGTATACTATAGTTCAATAATTATAATCCCATAGAAAAATCTAATTAACTGTTTACCTGCAACTTTCACGAAAATTCATCATCATCTTACTGAACACCGATGATTCTGACATTGTGGGTATTGATATTGGAACCCCTATGACAAAATCAAGCAACATTTCAAATGGGAAACAAAATAAATTGAAAAATTCTGCAAATTTCTGATACTGTACCAAAAATTAGGGCAATTAAACTAGCAAAACAAAACTGCAATAGATTAATTAGAATCTGTGTATTCAAGGGGTTTAACAAATATAAAAATTTATTCAATTAGAAATCAAAATGAAAGAATTATGAGAAGATGACGATTAATTATTTACCTGGAAAGTGAGTGACTGAATTAAATTTCTGGGAAACTTTGAATAAGCCCTAGCGCTCGATTGTTCAATTTGGGGGATTGTGTAGGAAGACATGGCTTGTGTTCACACTTTACAGTACTCACTTTTTTTTTTTTTTGAAGAACTTTACAGTAATCACTTCAATCTGTGAATTACTGCCCAATAGGGAACAAGTTAAACTTGGAATGCATTTAATGTAAATTAACTGAGCGGTAAAATTGTAAATAAATTGCGTGATTTTACATTCTTAATATAATTGAGCGAAAAATCCAATTTCGATATTGCAGTCGTTTTTTTTTTTTTTTAATAAATTACCACTTTACCGTCCATGTAAGTAAGGGGAAAAAAACAATTTTTATTATCGGTTTAGAGAGAAACCGTTACTTCATAACAGAATAACAGATGAGAACCACTACTTGAAGTTGCGGTCCACAATATAAATTTAAAGTTAGCATAACCCCATGGCAGCTGCTAGCCAAAATTATAACACAACCAACCATAACAAAAAGCTGTACTCCCTTCGTCCCTTATTTATAAGCCTATGATAGGGAAGTACAAATATGCATGTGGCAGTAGACTTGGCAATCTTGACCTGACTCGAATGACCCGACCCGCAACCCAAAAAATGACCTGAAATCATTGACCTGAAAATGAACCAAATCCGAACTAACCCGACCCGACCCGAAGTGAAGTTGACCCGAATGTGACCCGATGCCTGAAATGACCTAACCCGAATTACCCGCCCCGAAATTAACTCGAACCCCGAAGTTGACCCGACTCGAAGTGACCCGAACTGATTGACCTAAACCGATCCGACCCGAAGTGACTCGACTCAAAATGACCTGACCCGAAGTGACCCAACAAGCATTTTTTGTGGTGTTTTTTTTATAAGAAATTTACTTTAGTTTCTAATTATTATATAAAAGTTACTACTATTATTGAAATAAGAGGGAATTTTCCCATAATGTTTTTAAGTAAATTTTTATTTGGTGACTTGACCCGAACTTGACCCGACTCGAACTGACCCGGCCCAAACTAACTCGACCCGAACTTAACCCAAAAATTAGTCTTGAAAATTAACTCGACCCGAACTGACCCAACCCAAACTGACACGACTCGAACTGACCCGACTCGAACTTGACCCAACCCGAAGTGTTGACACGAATTTGACCCTAAACCCGAATTGACCCTAAACCCGAATTGACCCGACTCGACTCAAACCCGACCCAAATATTTGCTGACCCGAAAGCGACCCGACCTGAACGACCCGTTTTCCAGGTCTAAAATGTGGGGTTAGAGAGAAATAGAGAGAAAGAAAAGGTAGTTGGTAATTATTGAAGAGATGGAGAGAGAAAGTGTTGGAAATGGATCTCAAAAGTACCAAAAAAAAAAAGATGACAACTCATCAAAAGTAGTGGAATATTGTCAAAAAGTACATTATTTAAATAGAAATAGACATCTAATTTTGAAAACCCAAAAAGGGTTACAGGCTTGTAATTAAGGGATAGAGGGAGTAATTGCCAACAAATAAACAACTCCTAATATATAAGAAATTAAGAACATCTATCCAACTCTATGTATATGATGAGTAATTATCAGGTTGTGAGTTAGCATACACGGGATAGGGACTTTCTCTCACTAGAAGCCTAAGCCATCGGAGACCAACTCGACCACCCTGGTGGTTAGAGCTCCGGGAGCTTACTCCTAGCGGAGAGAGAGTTAGTTTAGTGTGCTTTGCATTTTCATGTAAGGTGATTAGAGTGTTTCATTCACTAGTCTATCCCTAAAAGATCAATTTTTAGGTTCCTTTTTTTTTTTTTTTTTTTTTTTTTTTTTTTTTTTTTTTTTTTGGCTTAAGAAGATGTTCTCCTCAATGGAGATTTCCTCTTTGCAAGAACAAGATCTCAGGCTTAGATCAGTAAGGAAGTTAAATGATACAGGGGAAAATCCACAAGGAGATACTTCTATACAAAGTCAACAAGTAGAAGGAGAGCACGATGAGGTGACTTAACCTATGGAAATAGAAGGTGAGCATCAACCACAAGACCAGGTGAAAGAGCAAAACTCAAAAAAGCAACAGGGGGTCATTAACTCTAATGTGAAAGTTCAGAGTAAAGGCACGTTTAGAGAGGCGGTGGCTAGGTCGTCGCAATGGTTTACTGAAGCAAGGAAAATAGTGGTTAACTCATTAGATTGGGACGATGAGGATGACCACAGTCTGAATCAAGCTAACATTGTCAAATTCCCCAAGGAAAAAATTCAAGAGCTTAGAAAACCATGGGAACTTACTTTAATGGGTAAGTGTTTAGGGCTGAAAATCAGAGCGGAGTACATGGCTCAAAGAGTTCAACGTATGTGGAACCCAAAAGGAGGCTTGGAGACAATAAAAATGGAAAACGGAGTCTACTTGTTTAGGTTTTCTATTCATGGTGATATGAAAAGGTATTGTTCGGAGGTCCTTGGTTCATATTGGATCACTATCTCATGATTTCTAAATGTAAACCAAACTTTAGACCGTCAACAGACTCGTTCCAAAACATATCCGTTTGGATTCGTTTTCCAGAGCTTCCGGTTGAGGGTTTTTTTTTTTGGAAATTAATAGAGAATTTTATTAATAACCAAGAAACTTTCTAGCAAAGCAAGACAATACAGAATAGCCTCAAAAACACAAAGAAACTATAACAACCACTTTTTCATCTCTACATCACATCTACAGGCAACATTGAACAAAATACGTCCGATGATAACAACCTGGTCTTCAACCTTCTGTCAAAATAGCAGCATTCCTCTACCCCCAACATGGTAGACTGTCTCAGCAAAACACATAGTATAAATCACAACTAGAGTAGTAGTCTTCCTGCTCATGTTTATAGCCATAAGAAGCTCCTCTTAGAAACTTAAACTGCTTCTCTGAACCTTAATGTAATGTATGCAGCAAAGCTACAGCTAAAGAACAAATGATCAACTGATTCCAAAATACCAGCTTGACAAAGAACACAGTGAGTGGAGCATTGAACACCCCAACTGCTAATCCTACATATCAGTTGTGGCAAGTCTATTCTGAACAGCCAACCAAAGAATCAAGACACTCTTAGGACTGGCTTTAGAGTTACAGATCACCCTCCTCCAAGGCACCTTCTCAAATTACCCTACAGCTGTTTATACATTTTACCGATTGAGAATCTACCCTTAGTCATGACAGAATCCCAATTAGCACTACTCTGAATAAGATCTCTAGTCTGCAGAACCTTCTTCAATAACCAAGAACAAGAATTAGGTATAGAAAGAGTAAACAGATTTCTGCCCTTAGTATAGTAACTGTCAACCCATCTAACCGAAAGTTTGTCCTTTTTATGAGTAAGGGCCTACAAAAGTTTTGCTATGGCAGCCTTGTTCCAAAATTGAACATTCTTGATATTCCAACCACCAGCCACCTTAGGAAGCATCACTATTTCCTAGGCCACAAGAGCTCTCTTAGACTTTTCAATATCACCAGTCCACAAGAAAGTTCTGCCGTATGACTGAACTTCCTTGATAATCTTTTTAGGCATGGCAAAAATTTGGCACCAAAAAGTCTGCATACCAAAAAGAATGGACTTAATAAGCTGCATTCCGCCAGCATAACTCAGGAACTTGCTAGTCCATGATTTGGCTCTAGCATTCTCAACAACTGGTTTGCATTGAGAGTAGCTGAGCTTTTTTGAAGACAAAGGAACTCCCAAGTATCGAAATGGCAGCTCACCAATAGGAACATTAATTACTCCCAGAATATCCTCTCTAACAGCTTCAAAAATACCAGCAAAATAGATATTGTTCTTATCTAATTTTGCTTCCAGACCTAAGGCTTGAGAAAAATTCATGAAAGTCATCATTAATAGTCTAACAGATTCTCTATAAGCTCGAGCAAACATCAGCAGATCGTCCGCAAACATCATGTGAGTCAGGTTAAGTCTTTCACATCTAGGATGGTGGTTGAAATCAGGATTATTAGCTAACTGACTCATGCATCGGGAGAGGTACTCCATTCCAATAGCAAAAAGGAATGGAGACATGGGATCTCCCTAGCGTAAATCCTTTTTTGCCAAGAAAGGTTTACAAGGAAAGTGTAGGCGTCATTCGAAGCGCGCCTACTTAAGTATGTGGTGAATATGCTTGGCACTCATAGGAAGTGGGAATTGACATATGATTAGGGACATGATTAGGGACAAAGTAAAGTAAGGAGCCGCCAATAAGTTTTTAAGGAAGATGTAAATCGTTCACGGATCATTAAAAGGCAACCACGAAAAGGGACAACGATAGGGAACAACGATTGACCCGTGAAGGTTACACCCCATTCATAATCCATGAAATTACCTACTCCATATGGTTCGCAACCACGAAAGGAGGATCGGGGATGATGGTACGAAGTGAGTCATGGAGTCACATCCGCCCGTATTGGCCTCTACTAGATTCTTATTGTGAAAAGTAATTCCTGTAATCTCAAAGGCATACAAACAAAGATTCAATTTGCTCCAAATTATTATTAAGTTAAATTGGTTGAATATTAATGCACGTTGTAGACACCTAATTGTGTCTCCCCAAAAACCAAACCCAGTGATAAGTACCTTTCACATCTTTGATTATCGAGTTAGGTGAAAGAGTTGAAGAGTCTCGTGAATTCCCTGTAGCCTTGACCATTTCTAGCCTTTCCTTAAATGTTTTAAACCAAAATCATTCATTTCGTGTCCTTAAAATCATTCATTTCGTGTCTTCTTTATAAAAACGTCCAAACCAGTCTATTTTTGTCCATGATCCTGGTCCAATTATTGTGTAGTTGGATGGTTTTTGAAAAGAGTTTTTCAAAGATATATTATAAGCCCAAATCCGACTTATAACGAAGAAGTTATGGCCAAAATACTAAACCAAGCCCAAACCGGACTTAAGTCCACCTTACCTACGACCCAATGATCACGAGGAGGGTCCAATACCTTAATCCCAATCCTAAACCTATTAGGATTCATTAGGATCTTTTAGAATCCTCTAGAAGGTGCTAATTTATCCTGTTCCTGAAAGATAAAGATTAAAGAATTAAATATTGAATAAAACATCTCTTTTTGATAATCCTAATCCCGGTCAAAAGTAAATTTTTTGTCTCATAATTTTTATCCTAATATTATATGGTTGGATAGCTCTTGAAATCATCTTTCCAATGATATATCATAATCCCAATTCCAATTAGAAACGGAAAAGATATGAACGAAATACCAAACTCTATCCAAATCTGACACTGTTCCACTATTTTGATCATATATTTTATTCTACAAAAGATATCAATCTGATTATAATTGGGTTGGAAATTAGACTTTTAGAGCTTTCCGACGATATATTATTTATCTTATTATGATTTCTGGATCAAAAGTTATGATAAAAACAAAAGCCGCAAAATTGTAGGATCATCGCGCCGCGGCAAAGCTGTTGCGCCACGATGGAACCTGTTTTATTCCGATTCGGATTCTAACTCTTTTCTGATCATTTGACCCTCTTTTTTCCTTGCAAATTGAGGTTGTTTCACCCCGTTTTCAATCACCAACAATCGTCATCCTAATCCCCTCTCTAACACTTTTTCTCTCTCTCTTGATTCTTCTCTTAGCTTAGCCTAAACACATCTCAACACATCCTTGATACTTTTCTCTAATTAATCACCATACCTCCATCACGAGCTTTGAATACTCCTAGCCAATCTCAAAGTTGCCTTTGACCTCAATGTCAAAGGTTGATAGTTCTGAGGGTTTGGTCCCTAATCTATATTTCAATTCTTATTTGATTTATTTCTTTCTTGAAGTTACTAACGTGTGTATTGTTTTAATAGAAAGAGATATGAGGCATCAAAGTGAGTAGATCTACTATCCTTATTCCTCGATTTTGATACAGAAATCATGTTTAGGATATTATTTTAATTCTTAGTATCATGTTAGGATGTTGATTTTGATAATAGAATCATCATTAACATTGGAAGCAATTTAACCATAAAAATAACAGTTAGTATATGAAAAACACAACAAAAACCGTTAGAAATATAATTGGAACAAAAGGAACATGATTCCTTACTTTGATTTCTCTTGCTTGCAACTATAAAACAATAAACGCGTTAGTAACTTAAAGGAAAATAATAAAAAATAATGGAAATTAAATAAAATTAAAGTAGAGTTGATTTGGGGCCAAACCCTCAAACAGTTCTACCTTTCACGTCTTGGTTTAAGTGTAGAACCTCGGGTAAAGTACGGACTCCGGGGAGTGGATGTATGGTAAAAGAATAAGGGAGGAAATCGGAGAGGGGTTTGTAGATGAATTCGGAGAGGGGTCAGCAGGTAATGTATCTGGAGAGGAATCTTGCCCACAGACGGCGTCAGATGTTTGGGGGGTTTTTTATGTGTCCTATGGGAGAGTTACAATTTCCTAGTATGCTCCTTCTTTCGTCTGTACTTGCACAAATAACGGAATACTCCGGCTGGGGCTGGGGTGTTACGCCTCCGAAGATTAAGTTAGTGTCTTTCTAAATGAGGAAATAAGACAATAAATGCTTCTCGATTTGAGAGCGTTTGCAAGGGGATTTGTGTTTTGTTGGTTTGTGGAAAAAATGATTCGATCCCCATTAATGAGGTCTGTCCTTACTATTTATAGTAGGGGAGGACTGTATCTCAATTAGGGTACAATGACACGTCGCAAAGGGATTGGGCCTTTGCTGACCGTTGCAAGTTTGACACGTGGCACACCTTTATTGGGCCACGTGTCTTAGGGTATTTTTTCATCTAATCATTTGTCCCTCACAGGTGTGACGTGGAAAACGTTAGTTCCACAGGTGTATCCTAAATCACTCTGTATACGCCGATACCTGCAGAAAAATGTTAGTTCCACAAATAATAGAGTAAAGGGATAGAATACGTATCTGACACCAGTACATGTTAACAAACACGTTTTAGTAATTTTCTACGCCTCGAGAAATCCACCAAATGATAATTTTCCATGCCTTGGGAATTCTATTGTGAACCACTACGCCTTGAGTGATCCACTAGATAAAAGGTGACAAACTTCCATGCCTTAAGAAACATGTCGTAGACTCCTACGCCTCGAGTCGGTAAGACTAATATGAGATAGTTTCCACGCCTTGGGAACCCTATCGTGAGCTCCTACGCCTCGAGAAACTCACAAATGAAAGGTGACAAGTTTCCACGCCTTGAGCAACATGTCGTAGACTCCTACGCCTCGAGCAGCCTACTGAATGATAATCTTCCACGCCTCGCAAAGACTGATATGCGATAGTTTCCACGCCTCGGGACCCTATCATGAGCTCCTACACCTCGAGCAACTCATAAGTGAAATTCCATACTCTGGGAACAACACTAAGTCTCCACGCCTCAAGACATAATCGCCAACTTCTACGCCTTGAGAAGTGTGCAACGATCGACAATTTTCCACGGCTCGGAAAAACTTGTTTGATAATAAAAAATTACAAGTCTCTACGCCTCGAGAAACTTGCAACGTGAATTTTACACGCCTCGGGAGATGATCACTAGGTGTTTGATAAATGTCTGATGATGATTGTTCGATTGTACATGAGACCTGCAAAATAGAATTTGCCAAAGGACTCGTATAGATAGTGATTGACTTGACCAACTGACTTGACTAAGCTTGACTTGACACGACATGACATGTGTATGACCTGTGATTGTGTGTGTATATGTATATTTTGAGTGTGTGCGCAGAAACAAACAACTGAAATTGCAAAAATTTCCGTCATTTTTTGTCATGAGTGGAGGGTACAGACTTTCTCCCGAAAAAGAAAGACGTGAAAAATGAAGTAAAATTTTTCGAACTTCACTCGATGAAAATTTTGAAAAAGTTTTTGAACTTCCCCAAAATAAAAGACATGAGAAAAGGAAGAAGTGTTGAACTTCCTCGTTAAGCAAAGCGAGATGAATCGCATGGATTTCCTTTTTGTCAAATTGAATTGCTCGTCTTGAAAATAATGTATGCATGATGAATGTTCGAAGGCCAGGAGGCTAATTACATCATATGACACGATCAATGAATGCACTTAGGTCATGAAGCTAAGCACAATAGTTTGTTGTCAATGTATGTTGCTTAGGTTAGGAAGCTAAGCATCATATAGTGTATGAAAAACAATCTTGATGAACGTTGCTTAAGTCTGGAAGCTAAGCATGTATATAGAGGTGATTGCCGAGTATTACTTAGGTCAGGGAGCTAAGCAAGTGTACCAACGAATCTTGATGAATGTTGCTTAGGTCAAGGAGCTAACCACAATATGTAATGTATGCAACAGTGAATATTGCTTAAGTCAGGAAGCTAAGCAAGTATTCATTGATGCTTTTGAACGATGATGACGTTTGATGAATATTATCGTGAAGCATGCGTGGTGTGGAAACAAGCTTTCATTATAAGGGATTCCTAAGGGAAGGAGGATATGGCCATGAATATGTGAATGGAGTGTGTGAATGAAGTGTGTGAAAGTGATACTAAGGCTGGCTGCAAAGGCTACGGTGACGGAAATAGATGTGAGAAGAGTCAAAGATGATGACTCTTTAGGCTAGGTAAACTAAGTGATGTGGGTTCAAGCCCCCAAGTCTAGCTCTATATGGGTAGGGATAAGCATTGGAAATTTTTAACTCGATCATGTATGAATGAATGTGGCCGCACCTCAATGTGAGGTTGCTTACGTATCCGTCAGGAATCAGGCCAAACGTAGCTCTAGCCAAACTTTGCACAAGTGTATGTACACCTCAAAGTGGTTTTTCAAGGGTTGTAATGTGGTTAAGGCTGATGGTTTAAAGAATAAAGGGGTAAAAGGCTCAAGACCCGAGATAAGCCCCCCAAGATGTGTAATTGTGTATTTGAAATTTGGACTTTGCAAGTTTTATTTTATATATATATATATTTTTTTTTTCATATTTTGCTTTTAATCAATGCGAGCAATCTCAGATCTTGCGGTCAATCACTCACTTAGCATTCATGTTTCTTAGGCACGTCC